TGGCTGCGAGCGGGCGCACGTGCTGGTGTCCCACTGGAAGTTCTTTCACAGCAGGAGGTGGTTGAAATACTCGGTGGTTGATGCCCAAATACCAGCTAACTGCTGGGATCAGCTCTGTGTAAACCTCTCTGCTCTCCTCTGCTGCTGCATTCCATAGCATCACAGGATCATGGAATGGGTTGGGTTGGAAGGGATCTTAAAGCTCATCCAGTTCCAGCAGCTTGCCACGGGCAGGGACACCTTGCACTAGAGCAGGTTGCTCCAAGCCCCTGTGTCCAGCCTGGCCTTGAACACTGCCATTTGTCTAAGTAATTCCTCAAACTATCACAAGACCCCTGGGTTTGCCCCGTAGCAGCCTGGGGGCAGCGGGATGTCTGCTCTTGGTTTGTGTAGGGTGACAAGGACAAGCTGAGTGGGGGACACGGTTGGAGGAGAGGGGTGACCATTTGCACCCAAATGGTGTTTGAGCCCCAGAGCTGAGCGATGCTGCTGCAGGGATGCAGCTGTGATCCCCAGCTGGAGTTCAGGGCGTTGCTGCTCTGCTCTGCCACCCCAAACCTGCAGCACCACAGACCTGGCCACCTTCAGCGTGCTGGGACGCATTCACCAGCAGACATGGCAGTGTCCCCAGGTGGGTTAGCTGACGTCCCCCTCCATGCGTCATGGATGTAGTAGGTGTGTTTGTCTACATGTCCAGGTCCCTAGGGTTTCGTGGCTGTGAGGAGCCCCACAAGCTGGGAGAAGAAGGAAGACAACACCTTCGTCTTCAAGATGTCCCAGCCAATCCCCTCCTACCTGATCGCTCTGGCCGTCGGGGACATCGTGTCTGCTGACGTCGGCCCAAGGTACGTGGCTCTGTCCTCGGCTCACTGAGCTGGGCCTGTCCTGCACCGCTGGGCTCTGCAGAGCGTGACGCGGTGCTGTGCACTGGTGCTGTGGCTCCTGGGTGAGGGTGCTCCTGGCTCTCGGTGCTGGTCCCCCCAGCTCCCAGGGGGCCCTGGCTCTGCTCATTTCAGCCCCATGCACGTCAGGGTGAGCGGTGGGTCCCCGTTCACAGAGGGCCCCACGTCTCTCCCAAGGCCGGTGCTTTGTTCAGGTTCCAGCTGCCACAGACACCGTATAAAAGCCCTTTGACTTTCAGACAGGGAAGGAAATCAGAGCAGTTTGCAGTAATAGACTCATGAGCTTCCTTTATCAGCTGCTACTGTGCTGTGGAACAAGCACGTGTGGGTTTTGGCTGATAAAGCAACAGGGTGAAAGTCCACCAATGGTTAAAAGTTCCTCTTCTACACACTTGGCCAGGAGCCGCGTCTGGGCCGAGCCCTGCCTGATTGAGGCTGCCAAGAAGGAGTACGATGGGGTGATCGAGGAGTTCCTGGTGGTTGGAGAGAAGCTCTTTGGACCTTATGTTTGGGGCAGGTATGGCTCCTGCTCCCGAAGGACCTTGTTCCCAGGGCTGGGGAGGGAGCATCGCTCCATCATCCCATCGCATCCGCAGCAGGAGGAGGTGGGCCTGACCAGTGTTTTCCCTTCCCCAGCAGGTATGACATCCTGTTCATGCCGCCCTCCTTCCCCTTCGGCGGGATGGAGAACCCCTGCCTCACCTTCGTGACGCCGTGCCTGCTGGCCGGGGACCGCTCCTTGGCCGATGTCATCATCCACGAGATCTCCCACAGCTGGTTTGGCAACCTGGTCACCAACGCCTCCTGGGGCGAGTTCTGGCTCAACGAGGGCTTCACAATGTACGCCCAGAGGCGCATTTCCACCGAGGTCTATGGTGCGTGGCCTCCCCGAGTCCCCATCGTCTCCCTCCTCTCCCAGCTCCAGAGCTGATGCCGTTTCCCTCCCGTAGCAGCACCCGTTGTGCTCGCAGCACACAGGGGTCTGGTTGGGGTCTCCAAACGCCTCCCTCTTGTCTCTGCCCAGGTTTGGCGTACACGTGCCTGGAGGCTGCGACGGGAAGGGCCCTCCTGCGCCAGCACATGGACAACACTGGGGAGGACCATCCCCTCAACAAGCTGCGGGTGGTGATTGAGCCAGGTTTGTGGGGCTCCTGGGGGAGCGAGGTGTGGGGCTAGGGGCAGCCCTGCTGCTGGGGGGCTTCCTGGCTGCAATATAACCAGTGCTAGGGCCCGAGGGAAGCGATGGCTCCAGGAGGGACATGACCAGCACACAGCCAGCTCAGGAGGTGGAAATCTCAGCACGTGAGGGCTGTTTTCTGTGCAGATTCCTGAGGGCTTTCCCTTTCCCCAGGGATCAATCCCGAGGACACATACAACGAAACGCCCTACGAGAAGGGCTTCTGCTTCGTGAGCTACCTGGCACATCTTGTGGGGGACCAGAGCAAGTTTGATGCCTTCCTCCAGGTCGGTAGGAGAAGGTGCCACGTCACATGAAACCCTTCGGTGGGAGCACAATGGAACCGTGGGAAGGATGGGCTGGACAGGGGAGAGGAAGAGGAGATGAGAAAGAGAGATGTTCACGGGGGGATGAGATGAGAGATGAGGACACAGCTGGGTGCCACATTGGTGGCAATGCCCAGAGGTGTCGGAGGGGGTGCAGGGGGCTGGGCAGCCCCTGGGGGGGCTGGTGTGGGCTCAGCAAAGCTAAACCCCCATGAGATGGAGCAGCACTGCTGGGGTGAGCACACGCAGCATCGTGCCCCGGCCATCCCCTCAGGCCTACGTGAACCGGTTCAAGTTCCAGAGCATCACAGCAGACGATGCCCTCGGTTTCTTCCTTGAGTACTTCCCGGAGCTGAAGGAGAAAGGCGTGGACTCCATCCCAGGTCAGCACGGCGCCTTCCTGGCCAGGGCACTGGGCACTGCTTTGCCAGCCAGCACCCATGGGTGTCGGAGCCGTCCCGTGTCCCCTCAGACCCTGTGCACGTTGGTCTGTGTGTTTCACTGGAGACAAGCGCTGCTGCTCCTGGCCTTGTCCCCGTCCCCCGGCAGGTTTGCTGGTGTCGGGGATGCCCTCAGAAGAGGCAGTTTGGGCAGCACCCGCCATGGGGCTCAGCTCTCCCTCCCTCCTTCACTGCAGGCTTCGAGTTCAGCCGCTGGCTGGATACGCCGGGCTGGCCACCCTTCCTGCCCGACCTCTCGCCGGGGGATGCGCTGATGAAGCCAGCGGAGGAGCTGGCAGAGCTCTGGGCAGCCGATGGCTTGAACATGGAGGGGATTGAAGCCGTGGACATCACGGCCTGGAGGACGTACCAGCTGGTCCACTTCCTGGACCAGGTCCTGCAGAAATCCCCCCTGCCACAAGGTGAGGGCCAGCTCGCCCCCCGGGGCTCTGCTGCCCGGAGGGGACACGGGCTGACATGTCCTGGTCCAACCAGCTGGCCAGGGACGTGAGACCACATCATGGGACTCACGGGTGCGTGGCCATCAGCCCGTCTCCACTGCCGTCCAGCAGCACGGTTCCTGGTGTCTGGGAGGCCTCTAGCTGTGTGGTGGGGAAAGGAAAGGCAGGGAAGCATGTCCCTAAGATGTATGGGGACATCCCAGAGGGTTTGCAGCATAGCCAGGATGGGCTCACTGGGTCTCCTCGGAGCAGGAGCTAAGCAAAAGCTTCCATGTGGATGGTGATGATCCCCCTCTTGCAGGCAATGTGGAAAAGCTGAGCAAGATGTACCCAAAGATCTCCAGGTCCCAGAACGCTGAGCTGCGACTCCGCTGGTGCCAGATAATCCTCAAGAACAACCTTGAGGCCGAGTACAGCAAGGTCAAGGACTTTCTCCACAGCCAGGTTTGTCCCTGGGCAGTGGTGGCTGTGGCTGTGCCTGGCAGCGTGCCACTGGGGCAGAGATGGGCATGGGGCACAGGACCTTCGGTGCCAGAGGGCCAGGGGTTGGCTCTTCCTCTTGATAGAGCAACAGACTGGCTTGTGTTGAAAGGACCTTAAAGCTCATCCAGTTCCAACCCCCAGCACACGGGGGTTCTGGGCTCAAGCACGTGCTGCTTCTCCAGGGTCAAGGTCTTCACCCCTCTCAAGGCACTGTAGTGCCAAGGGCTGCCCATGGTGGTATTTATCATGGTGTCCCTTTCCTCTGTGTTCTCTCTCTCTGGTTAAGAGCTGGGGGTGTTGTGCCCTGGGAGGGGAGATGTGGGGCTCCAGGGTCTTCACCCTGCTGGAGCCAGGGAGGAGCTGGGCTGTGACCCCCGCTCTGTCTCCGCAGGGGAAGCAGAAGTACACCCTGCCCCTCTACCGCGCCATGTGGGCCGGGTCGGAGCCAGCCCGGGCCCTGGCCATGGAGACCTTCTCTGCTACCGCTCCCCAGCTCCATGTCAACGTCCAGAACTACGTCAAGAAGATCCTGGGCATGGAGGTGGCTGAGACCTAGTGCAGCCGGGGTGCTCCTCGGCAGGACCTCGCTGCTCCCCCCTTCACTGCACCTTTCCTGATTAAATCTGTACTTTTTCCTCTGTTCCTGCTCCCAGTGAGCCATGGGCAGCCTCAGCGGGACTCCTGCTCCTCCTGCCCAGGAGCCAGGCTCACAGCCCACATGGGGACCCTGCCAGCTCTGGTCAGGGATGTGCAGGTTGCTCTAGGAGGCTGGTGGCTTCTCCTGGTGCTGGTACAGGAGGGATGGGTCTGGCGTTGGCATCTTCAGGGCTGGTCCTTGCTGGTCCCACGTGTAAAGGAGTAAAGCTCCTCTCCCCTCTGCAGTGTGGGAAGCATCCAGCACACAGGGAGCTGGGGAGCTGCTGCCGAACTGGCTTCATTCACCTTCCTGCAAAGGCAACGACTAATGAAGACACTTCAGCGTAAAATTAGTGACAAGATGTAGCACAGTTATTTTTAACAAAGTGACCTTCATCAAGCTCAGAGCTCTTTTTGCTTCGTTTTTTCCAAAATGAAAGCCAAGTCAATCATGAAATGCCAGGGGAAGATGTTAACTCTTTATTAATAAATTGATTTAGAAAAGCTTAGCGAGACAGGATTAATGGATTTGGTGCTCAGGACGGACCACTGTAATCTTCTAGTGTGACCTGCTGCAGAGCAAGGCCTGGCCCTCCCGCAGCCCGCCAGTGGAGGCAGCTGCAAAAGGGTTTATCTGTTAATCCACACCATGGGGAGCCTCTGACAAGTCCCTACATCCTGGTCCAACGGTCACACCACGCTCTGCTTCCAGTTTTATGTGACTTCCCCTCTGCCCCTGGCTGGGTCAGCTGAAGTTCTTTAAATAGTCTTCTTGAAATACTGTGTTTCAAAGTATTAATGACACTCTGACTCACGACTGCTTTCTTTTACAGTATAAAAGTAATGATGGGCTTGCTTCTGAACTCAGTTACTCCCCAAACCACATGGAATAAATTAATTCCTGCAATGGTTTCAATTTTACATCTGCGTAAGAGAGACCAAACCCTTCGCCACAAAGGTACAAACCAAGCAAGTCCACGGGAGAGCACGTCAGCTGTCCCTGCTCCTCAGGGCCTGCTGTACTGTGTAGACTCTGTGAGCAGCTCAGTATGGAATGGTAGAAGAAAGAGTCAGCCATAAAGTGCTAGTTTGTTTGAGGAACAAGTGAGAAGTTTGATTACCAAAGCATGTCAAATGTCTGAGCCCAGCTCTGCGCACTGCTTGTCTGATATGTGGTTAGCTAACGACTCTATGATGTCAAGGAGGAGGAGCTGACTCAGGGAGCGGAGATTTGGCAACTTGGAGACCTTCAAGGAAAAGAAAAACAGAACAGAAAAAGAACAGAAAAAAATTAAAGCCCTCCCCAAATCAAAGCTGAGGTAGCACCAGTTCACCCCAGCCACCCCATGGGAAACAGGCAGGTCAGGCAAGCCAGAGCCTGGGCATGTACAGCATGAAATCCCAGTCCCGGGCTCCAGTCATGACTTCCTGCACTTGGAATCCAGTTTCAGACTGCTGCATGGAGGGGATGGGAACGGAGAACAGCAGAAACGCTGACCCCAGCACTGCCTCTCTGAGAAAGGAGGGTAATTACTGCTTCTATTGACAAGTCCACTGCTAATGGATGCCAACTAAGCACTTCCCTGAAAGCAAAGTTGGGCACCAGCACAGCCGTGAACTTTGAAGTCGGTGTGTTGCTACTGAGAACGTGACTTAGGACCTGATCTCTTCACCCTGCTCCTATGGAGAGGCCATGCTTAGTGTCCATGCTGGTGGTGCTGGCATTCCTCCTGCAGTCAAGGCAGGTCACTGGCAGCCAACAAAAACCTTCACCGCATCAGATACATGAGCATCTACAACAAGCTTTATGCTCTTAGACTGTTCAGAAGCTCAACTGTTACCAAAAAGGAGCTCTACACATTCCTTCCTTCTCCACAACCTCACAGTCATGAGCCAGGAATCCCTCTTTCTAGACCTATTAACATACATGCCCAGCCTTGAAGGCAGACTCTGCCTAAAAGCCTGACTACTTGCCCAACCTGTACTCACTGATCTAATAGAAGATTATCACCTCACTCTAAGCTTGACTGTGATAAAGAATAAAGATGTCCTGAGCATCTTTTGAGGCCCAGGAAGGAAATGGCTGAGATGCTTCCAGAAAGAGCTCAGGACACGTGCTTGAAGTAATAATATCCCCAACGTAAAGGTCTATGACGACTGGGAGGGAAAGGGACTCCTGTAACACGGGTGGGAATCCTGCCCCAGCACCGAGGCATGCACCGTGGAGGAACAGATCAGGGTGTCAGTACAAACACTTCAGAACAGCAGTTTTATTGGGCATTTTGCACAATACTGACACACAAGAGCCTAAACCCACGTTGCCCAAAGCAGCAAACCTCTGGGAACAGCTCTGCCATTAACGTTCTTACTGGGGGGGGGAACTCCTTGACAGTCCGCACTGAGAACAGCATTATCAAGCTGGAAGAACAGGAGATGCCAAGGGCCATCCACCTGGCCTGTCCAAGCCTCCATGACCCACGGGGCTGGCACAGCTAGAACAGAGCCCCCTTCAGAGCCTGTAGCTTGCCAAGGAGCCCAGCCACACACAGAGGCACCCAGCCACTAGCCAAAAATCACACACTGAAGCCTCTCAAGCCAAAGAAAAACATTGCATAATTAAGATTTCTTCATGCACATCTGCTTGACAGGCTTCCAGCCACAGCCTGAGCAAAACTGTTCTAGCAGTCAACAGTTTAAATAGAAAACATCTCCACATACTCTGGTGAGTGGAACACAACTGAGGAACGCCCTTTTTAGCTCAAATCTCAGAGATGTCGCAATGCTCGTTTCCCCCCAGCACGTTCTGGTGAGTTTGTGCCAACCTGTTTGTCTTCCTGTGGCCTCCCCGGGAAGCTGAGACCATGAGATCTCAGCTCTCAGGGACTGTAACCCCAGGAGACATCCCAACTGCCTGTAACTCACAGCAGGACCATTCTCCATCCCCTGCTGAAGCTGGGCCACACTCTGCAGGAGCCATGAGGCCAGAAGAAAATCCACCCGATGAAGGCAGGGGCTGTAACCTCATGCTGGGAGCGCAATTCCTGGGTGCTGGCTCCACTCTCAAAGCTGTTCATGCATTTTCAGCTATTTCTGGATGTAAAATGCATTGCACTTGGGCAACTTAGGCATTTAATAAAGAGCCTGAACAGCTCCCTCTGTCTCATCTCCAGATACAGACTGGACAGAGCAAGCGCTCTCCTTCCCCACGGGCAGCGGCGGGAGGATTGTGAGTTTAAATACACCAAAGAGAGTGAACTACCTGAATCCTAACTTGGGAATTATTATCAATAAGCGCACAGCATCCAGAAATCCCAATTCCTGTGATTTATCTACCAGTTTCGACGACGTTGATACATTATGCAATGAACTGGTGACTGCTGGGAAACTCTCATGGAGGGATCGTATCTCACAAGAACAACTAAACAACAATACCCTCATTCTCTCAAGTGAGGACAGGAATATCAGCACATCAGGCTCTTGACCTTTGCTATCCATCACCCCACGTATCAGAACATGGAAACTACAGAAAGCCCAGCCAGGACATGGTAATTTGCCTTCTGGGCACATGACAGTATAACATCTATGAGAGAATACTTGAAGAGAAATAGGAACAGCACACTCATAACCGCCAGTGAAAGAGAGATTTGTGCCCTCAATATATCACAAACTTATCTTGCTATACACAGGAGAACCCAACAATGGCATGACACAAAATCAACAGCTGGAACAAGTGGAAATGGAAACAATTCTGGGTAACTTCTGTTTTGGAAGGTCTTCACATTTCCAGACCCTGCTGTTCTAGTCTTTCATTTATTTTTGGTGTTTAAACTACGCCTGGCAGACTTGCCAGGGAGTACCAGCAACACTCAGCCAGCTCTCAGCTGTCTCACATGAGAGAGAGTGAAATGGATTCCTATGTTAATGTGTCTTTAACCAACGCAGTGACAGAGGACAGCAGCTCTCAAAAGCCCCAGAAAAGATGCAACCAACCTTGGTGAACTGGTGAACGATGATGTGCAGGCAGTGCCTCTTCATGTCCAGCGCCTGGGTCTTGTCAGCTGCCTCTAAAATCTAGAGCAAAAGCAATGATGTGATCTTCCTTCTGCATAGCTCAGTGCACAGACACTGTTCTGACTCAGCTGAGGCAATTCCTCTAAGCTAGGGAAACATCTCCATTTTTCATTACAAACCTGAATCTTCTCTGAACTACTGAAAAATAAAGCCTTGGATTTAAATGTATTGAGTCCTCAGGAGACAATCAGTAGGAAACTGCAGATCTGTTTCAGAGCCAGGCTCCCTGAAGTGCCTGAGTGAGGCTGGCAAGAGTCAAAAGCTGCTAATGCTGGAATTGATTCTGCTTGTGTTGCAGAGGGCTCGGCCTGCCTACCTAGTAGATGGCATTGTAGGCTTCCTTATCACAGAATACTCTTTGTTAGCTTAAACTTCATTGCCAGATCCTCTTAGCATTTACTGATAAAACAAGATTAATGGCACCTGCACATCACTGTTTGCCCTGGTACAAATGTTTACCACAAAAGGGTTTGGAGTTGAGTGCAGAGCACATGGTACCTCTTATAAAGACCCTTAGAAACACTGGTCTGCAGTGGGGGATGAGGAACATTGGCCAGTTGAGCAATATCTACTAAACAGTTCAGCACAGGAGCACTAGTGACACAAAAAGCAGGTAAGGAGACAAACCCACTGAAGCCTGTGCTCCTACACACGTGTCATCCACGCAGGGCCACTGGCATTAGAAGAGTTTGTGCGGTCTCAGTGGATGTGAGTTTGGAGGCAACTCAGTGAACCCGGCACTAGAGGTACCCAGCTGACCAGAGCCATTTCCTGTGTCTAAGTCAAGCGACTCATTAAAGCTGCCTGGGGACAATTACCTGTAGTACATTCTCCACTGTGACATTCATTTCTAGGTTCTGCTTACAATAGGCTTGCAGTCTGTTGTTGGAGAAGCCGTAATAGTAAGGTGCAGCAAAGAGGTAGCTGTTCATCTCATTAAGGAAAAAACCATAAAGCAACAGTGGCAGAAGTTAAAATGCAGTGCCTGCTAATGCAGCCTTGACCAGCAATCTCCCCAGGCCCTGCCTGGCAAGCTAGAGCAAAAGGAAGGTGAGCTGCTCTACGTGCACTTTAGGCAGATACTTCAATTACTTTAGACGTAAGGATACAGGGAGTCCTCAGGAGGCATGTTTACTTCCCCATAATAAATGTATCGGAGCATCGATTCAAAAGCTTGCTTGCTGGGAACCATTTCACCTATAGAAATATTCACTTGCCCATCTTCTGGCATGAAGGAACGGAACATGGCTTCGAAGTAACTGGAAAAGGAGGTAAAACTGCTGTACACATTCTGCAGAGACATGGTTTATCCCAGTATTGTTCAGAGGCTGCTATTAAGCACTGCAGCTTCCAAAGAAGCAAATTCAGGTGACAACCTGGGCAAACCCACTGCTAAATTGTTGGTTTTATATGTCTGCCTGTGAGAGAACTCCAAATATAATCTCCCTGATTTCCATCAGCACCACCCGAAATTTGTCTCTGTTTCTTGAAAATTAGGACACACGGTGCTTTGATTTTTGTCCAATTTGCATAAGACCCAGTAGAGAGCTTAAAGCATTATGAATTTTCTTGGTATCCACAGGCTGCTAATCATGCAGGGGTGTGTTAAGAGCTGTGAAATGCTTCTGGTAAAATACCACGGTAACTAATACTGAGTAGTATTTCTGGGACTAGACAAAAATTGTGACAGTGTTTGGAACAGCAATTTTATGTGCACACTTAATGTTTGGCAGAACATAAAGGTGCAGGTACACAGAACACGCAAGCAAAGGACAGACCCCCTTCACTGCCATACTGAGGAGGGAGAAAAGTCCCCACCTTCAGAAGGGTGAACCTGCCTCTGCAACAAAGCACGGGAACGATCTAGTCTCTGTTATGCACCATTTTTTGCTAAGCTTACTCATACCCAGTCTTAAATACCAGCAAGGGAGAAAGAGATTCAAATTTCAGGTGATTCAAAACGGATGTTCACCATCAGAAGACTCTTTCTGACCTCAGTGGACATCTGCTGCTTTCCACTTCACTGAAATCACCTCATGTTTTACACCCTCTTTCCTTTCCTGTGATTGTACAGATTCTTTGTCTTGCACTGCAGCTTCTTACACATCCTCTAAAGAACCTCTCCAGTTTTAATTTCCTTGATCCTTCCCTGCTGGGTATCAAATTGAAAAAAACAAGCCATTTAACCACTGATGCTCAAAGGCTTAATACACTTACTAAGCAAAGATGCATCTTGCACTTTATGTGGATACAAAGTTCCTCCCTGTCTTCTAGAAGAGGCAGCTGCCCCACAGACTGCACAGCACTGCACTAGACACAGCCAATGTCTGTTAGAGGTTTGGTACGCAGCGCCTCACCTGGAGCGGGCGGCCAGGATGGCTTTATGTGCTGGCCGAGGGTGGCCGTCCAAGAGAAGGATGATATCACAGAACTCAGTCCCAGCTCCTTCCAGGTAAGCCTTCATGTCCTGAATTAAAGATGTTCCTGAAAGTTAATGTAATGGGATAGTTCAGGATGTGATTGTTGCAGATGACCAGGTACTATCAAACTAATACATGGCAAAGCCATAGCTCCAGCCCCTCTTTCCTTTGTTTCCTAGACAATTAGCAATGCAACAGCTACAGGTTGGGCAAGAAGAGATTCGGAGCAGCCTGAGGAGAAGGACTTGGGGGTGTTGGTTGATGAGAAACTGAACATGAGCTGGCTTCAGTGTGCGCTTGCAGCCCAGAAACCACCCGTGTCCTGGGCTGCATCAAGAGAAGCGTGACCAGCAGGTCGAAGGAGGTGATCCTGCCCCTCTGCTCTGGTCTTGTGAGACCTCACTTGGAATATTGTGTCCAGTTCTGGTGTCCTCAACATAAAAAGGACGGTGAGCGGCTGGAGCAAGTCCAGAGGAGGCCACGAGGATGCCCAGGGGCTGGTGCAGCTCCCTTATGGAGACAGGCTGAGAACATTGGGGCTGTTCAGCCTGGAGAAGAGAAGCTGCTGGAGACCTCAGAGCAGCTTCTAGTGTCTGAAGGGGGCTACAAGGATGCTGGAGATGGACCTTCATCAGGGACTGGAATGGTGGGACAAGGGGTGATGGGTTCAAACTGAAACAGGGGAAGTTTAGGTTAGATCTAAGGAAGAAGTTCTTTACAGTGAGGGTGGTGAGGCACTGGAATGGGTTGCCCAAGGAAGTTGTGAATGCTCCATCCCTGGCAGTGTTCAAGGCCAGGTTGGACAGAGCCTTGGGTAACATGGTCTAGTGTGAGGTGTCCCTGCCCATGGCAGGGGGGTTGGAACTAGGTGATCTTAAGGTCCTTTCCAACCCAAACCATTCTGTGATTCAAACCCAGCACAACTAATGAGGTTATAAAGCAGGAAGGTTACCGATGTCAAGCGGCTGATCGGAATGTGTTCGAACAGGAGGCTGCTGCTTTCTCCGCACAATCTCCACTATGAGGGATGAAGAAAGATGCTCGAACTCCTTCATCATTATTACCTGATTAAAATGTGACTCCTTCACCACAAAGTTCAGGCAATGTTCCTTAAAAGAAACACCAAACCAGGATTAATAACAAACTGATGGTTTACCCTCTGGAGTCATCCCACAGCATCACATACATGTTACACGTGTAAACAACCACTGTTTTCTTACAACCCTCCACATGGGTCCTGCAGCTGGAGCTATCAGTGACCTCCTCACTAAGGGACCATTTCAGCTCCTGCTTGAACAGGAAATTCAGGACAACTCTAAGCATCTAGAAAAACCTGACTAAGAAATAATAAGGAGGAAAAGATTCATTGTCTCCCATCTAGCTGCTCTGAAATAGGAATCTCAGGAGACGCTGGAAACCTCACAGGGCTAACTAAGATTGGTTGCTATCTCATAATAATTCTTTACACAATTAGAAACCAAAAGTTAATTAGAAGACTGAAAAGGACTCAACACTCTCCATTAAGGATACAAACAGTGTGCAGGATTTCCTTGTGTGGACTGTGCCTTAACCCTCTCTGTAAAGGCTGCAACAGTCTGGAAGAGTCTTGTAGGCTCCTGTATGACAAACTTGCTGTCACAGCAAATCAGCCTGGACGTATCTGCTCTACCCTGACTTTCAGCACAGCCCGTGACCCACTGCATAGAGAACTGCAGACACGTTCTGGTTTTCAGCAGAGTGATTTTCAGATCGAAGCCATGAAAACAGAATTTAGCTTTTACATTATACCCAGCAGAAAGAACCTGTTTGCAGAGTCTGTATAGAACAGTGGGAACAGAAAATGCACTGGTTCCATCCTGCTGTAGTGAGAGTGAACTGATGAAGAGCCAAAGTCACTCTGCCCTCTACATCCTACAGGGCAGATATGCAAAAATACCACTTAGTGAAAAAACCCACATAATATTCGTGAGCAACTGCAGGCCAGCCCCCACTAACATACCCTCAAGCAACTACAATTATAGGGAAGAACTGAATTTGCAAAAGCCAATAGCTTTTGCAAAACATTTATTACATAAATCCCATTTGTTAAACTTTCTCATCAGTTCCTCTGTATGCATACTGTGAGCACCTTTAGCTGATCCAGCTGGAGCTTGTTGGCATTTTCACACACAATGAGCACATTCTGCAGATCCACGGATGCTTCAATATATTGAAGGCAGAGCTGTTCCAGGCGAGAGAGCTTGAAGTTTAAAGCTAGTTTGTATACATCCATAATAAGTAACACATCCTGCACATGCCCTGCAAGCACAAGAGATAAGGATGCTGGAGAGCTCAGTTTATCTTGACAATCTGCATTATGATTTTTTAAAACCCTCAAAAGAAAGTGAGGTCTCTAAACCCACTGACAAGCTCCAAAGCCAGCAGCCCGATGTTCCCAAGCTGCTAACAGCCCTGCTGCAGCCCTTGGTTTGGATGCAGTATTAGCAATCAGCTCCCTGGTTCTGACAGACCCTTATGAAGGTGCTTTGTGCTTGTGCTGGAAGAAAGGGCTGAAGTAAGGGAGGGGCAGTGGGGATCCTCGCAGGCTACTGCAATGGGACTACTGGGACAGCAACTCAAGGAATAATCCTCCACAGCCTTTGCTTTCCTCACAGAAGATCTGTGGCCATCTGCTGTAACTCCTTTTTGATAGAGAAAAGCCTTCTTGCATGTCACATGCCTGCCCGGTGTCTAATTGGAAAATCCCATTTGATAAGCATGCCCAATTCTATTAGCTCAGCCTCTGGAAGGATCCCCAAGGTGCTGCTCTCTGAACTGAGAGGAATGACTAGGAATACAAATGGTCAGGACAGGGCCATTGGAGGATCCCAGCAGAAAGGTGTTTGATGGGCTGGGGGAAGGGTAGCAGGCTGCCTGGGAAGCCTGTAACAAAGGGAAGAGCTCAGTATGTCCTTCGTCTGATCCTGAGGGATCAGTGAACTGCTGGAGAGCAGGATCTGGCAATGTCAGCAGACACCAATGAGAAGCTTCCCTCATCCCCATTAATTAGGCTTGCTCTCAGACAGGCCAGCTTTCAGGGAAAGCCTTGGAGCAACTGCATACAAATCATTCTTTTCCTGAGAATTACCTTTTATAGCAAGGGAAGATTGTGGACTGAAGCTCAAGCAAACCTTTCAGCATTAGGATAGACGTATCTTGCTTTACTTTATGGTGCCATGTGGCTACAGCTTCCCCAGCCCCTCCACCTGGAGTTCCCCCGGGTAGCCACTCTGACTCCCACAGCCCAGCACACCTCATCACTCAAGCAAAGCCATGAGATTTGCTGCGTGGGAGCTGAGAGATCTCTGGCTATTACCTCCCAGCCTGCAAGTGTCTGTAACCCGGGGATCTTCAGTGAATGCATCAGATCGATTTTTCCTTTCTTGAGGCATTCTTTTGGATTGGCATTTTGGAAAGATGATAAATCCTCCCTTGCTTTGCCTTTCTGTGTGGGCTCAGTTTGCAGTGGACCAAAACAATGCCAGAAAAAAGGAATAAGCCTACGCAGGATCCATGGTCCTTGCAGGCAGGCTGCTCCATGTGCAGAACACCACCACGCCTTTGGGTTTTGGCTGTGGTTTATCGATCATCTGCAAATGCTTGATCCTAGTCTGGGTCAAAGTAACTTTGCTCCCCAAAGTAAGTTTGCAAAGTAAGTTTGCTCCCCAGCTGTGGCAGGTTTCTAACCCTCTGCCCTACCTTTGCGAGGGTACTTGATTTTATCTGTGTACAGGAACTGCATGAGCACCTCGAAGGGCTGCGCCTCAGCCTCGCGGATGGGCACTTCCAGCAGCGGCTGCAGGCGGCACAACTTGACATTCCCACCAATCCCATCCCGCTGACACGTCGCATGTCCCTCGTCTTCAATATCTTGCTTTGATTTCTAATGAGATGGAACAAACAAACATGGCAACAAGGCTGTGTCAGCTCACACACGTTACTGTCAAAGCAGAGGAAAGAGCCTTCTCATGACTGCACTCTTCAGGATCCGAGATCTCATTATCTTCAAGATTATCTTCACAAAGACAAGGAATTCATATGTCTTAGGCTTACTGTTCCATATCCACTGACAAACATGGATCAGAACAAACGGGAGCTCCTGGATAAAGCTCAAAAGCAGGGCCTCAGGAAAGGCGACGAATGAATGTTCTGCCCTCAGCAGAACAGCATTTCCCCTTGGAGGAGGAAGATGAAGGAGTAGGTTCCACAGACCCATGCTTTGCAAAGTCAGAGCTCAAAGTGCTGCTCAGATGTATTTTAAGCCACTTTGTTACTTCCAGGTTTCACTTTGACAACCTCTCCCTCCAGCCTTACCCAGTGAAGATGGAGGGCTGTGGGGTGGCAAAGCAATTAACTAAGGGGCAATGAGGCACCCATACGTCTTACTGCAGGTTATGTGCTACCAGTTCCTCAAGAGCAGTCAAATATTTGCTGTTAAAAAGCTGTAAGTAGCGAAAATTAACAGAGAGACCAGACCTTCAACTCTGGAAAAAGTCAGGAAATACTAAGGTAAAGGGAACAGAGCCAGCTCCAAACCTTAAAGCTGCCTCCCCTCTGATCTGTCTGATCTCGCCGGCCACTCCCGAGGACGTGCACCTTCTGCCCTCCCCAGAGGAAGGGGTATCCCCAGGGATACTCCACAAGATTAGAACCTAGACAGCTACGAGAGCTCCCAAGAACCACAGTGCCAAATCCAGATAACTGGATTAACTTTGGCTCCTCCATGTTACGCTCCTCACCCGGCCTGATACACATCCAGCAGCCAGTGTTAATGCTGATTATCCTCTTTCCTTCCCTTGCTCCAGAGCACCTCAGCATCAGGTTCTGCTCTGGTCCCACAGCTGTCTCAGCAGATACTGGTTTTGTTTGCTGACAACCTTATGTCCAAAACGGGGCAGAATAAGCATCCCCCTGCCACGAGATCACTTCTCTCTAATACTCACCTGTTTCAGCCTCTCCCTTGCCTGCATGATCTTCTTTTTCAGCCACTTGCAGCGAGCTGTAACAATTGCTGTGTGCCCTCGGACTCGTTCTTCCTTCTGTCACAGGCAAAGGAGGAAAACATATTGAACTTCTATACCCAAATCTCATGGTGGTGGTGGCAGATGGCAGAAGTCATAGAAACCTGGGCTGAGCTTCAGGTTACTGTACATTCAGTTGTAGTTAGAATCAAAGGCAGCCTTGCATTCGCCCTGCACATGCAGATGAAATCCAATACTTACTAAAGCCTAATGGCAAACACCATTTGGAAAGAGTCTTTGTGATGTTCACTGAGTGGAAGCTGCTGTGTAGGTTCAGTGTCACAGATATTGCTTCTTATTGTTGCATCTGAGTTTTGGTTTCATTTTCTACTTTATGTCAGTAATTAAAATTGCTCTTGAAATGATCTGCAAACCACTGACCTGCTCTTTCCAGGGGGACAGCTGGGACCTCAACTGAGTACAGAGGGCATTAGTACCATTTTCATATTACAACTATACATACTGTGCTGTGGCAAACTGGGGTCATGTCTCAGTGATCCACAGATCTGCTCAGTTTAAAAGTTTCTCCTTTGCAGCTTTAGAAATTTATGTGGATGAGTGTAACTTAAGCAGAGAGACAGCACCTTCACCGCTGCCACTGCTCTTCAAGCTTCACTCCCAGGGTTTCTGGCCCCATCTCTGTACAATCTGTCCCCAGCACAGGATACACACACCCTAACACCCCCGCTGGCACCTTTTCAGTAAATTCTACTCACCTCTCCCAAAACAAACTCCAAGTCACTGAACTGCCTGTTCTCCCACAGCCTTCCGTAGTCTTCATGGAGAGTGCATTTAGGGTAACAGGAAAACTAGAAAAAATAACCCCCCACAGAAGACAGAATTAATTTCACATGGCTCTGCCCAAAAGCACTGTTACATGTGTTATGAGTGGATTTTCTGATTAACTTGACCCCAAGGTAGTATATATAGAAGAAAATAACAAGCAACCCAAACACCTGCAAGGGCCTGCTCTATGGTGGGGGTAACAAAAGAGATCACAGGGCAAGATGGAAGATTTGGGTCTCATTTGAACTGCAAAGGCTGCCTGCAGGAGCCAAACCATGTCTGGAGACAGAGGATTCACACAGAACTGGTGGGGATGGTTGAGCAGGTTTAGCAGTGAGCTGTCAGTGAATTACCTGGAACCTGTACATCTCTCCACTCCTGATGTTATTGTCCACAGTGCCACCAAAGATGTACATAGCATCTGAGATAACAGCTGCTGCATGGAAGAGTCTCCCACTGGGTAACTGGGGAAAGAAAAGGACAAAATAGGGGAGGGAATAAATAAAAGCCTTTTTTTTTTTCCTCCTCACAAAAAAAGGACCTGCAACAGATCAATAATGAGAAGGGAAAAATCAGCATAGACTGAAGTGACACAAACACTCACATCCTAAGAGTGACATTTATTATCTTTTAGGGTTGTTTCCTCGTGTACCTAGAACATACTTCCACTAACATTTAAAAACACCTTGTAAATCAGAATGGTACCTACACAGGACTCTATATATCACCGTAGTTACAAAATACATCATTTATCAAACTCAGACTCAACGCTAAGTTTTACATAGAAAAATACACCCCACTTCTAGAAATAAAGACACTCTGCAAACCACTGTGCAAACCCCGAGCTTATTCCAAATCCTGTCAAGAACGTGAATGGTGAATGATCATCTAACTCAGCAGGATGCTCAACTGGAGGCTTGTAAGCACTCGCCTTGCCCGCAGCTCGCTGTGGCTGACCCATCTGGCCAACGAGTGCCTCCAGCAGTGCCAAGTCATGCACAAAGCCCAACGTTGGAGACGCTTCCAGAGCTGGCACCACAGAGCCAATCCTGTCTCCATCATGCCAGGTCCACAGAGCATAAAGCCACCCCATGCTGCAGGAAGCCCCAGCTATTTATAGGGCTGAGGGATCACACCATTCCATGCAACACACACTTCACCTTGGAACTGTAAAATCAGATGATTTCTGAAGCAGGAAGGAGTCACTGCGAGTCGAAGCTGCTGTGACCCTCCTGCACAGGACAGACCTCATCGTTTTTACCCGTTTCTTCTGAGGTTACACAAAGGTAGCTGATCACATTAGCACATCTCACTGAGATATCTCACATCAAGTCCTCAAGTGGTGATAGAACCACCTTTCCCCCTCCCCAGTTCCATCAGGCTTGTTTTGTCTTCCAGGCAGCAAAATCGCATTAAATCTCTGCCTACGAAATAAAAAGCCCTCTGGTACAAGAAATCTTCTCTCCTTGTACATATTTATAGGCACCACTCAAGTAAGCTCAGACACGAAACAAGATTATGTTTATCTGCAGAGCCACATTTTCCAGGAAGCCATGCTGACTGGCATTTCTCATTACCACCGACTTACCCTTTCACCACAGCATCACACAACGGCCTCATTTAGCTTGTTACTCACCAGACTTTCCATGAGTTTTTCTTTTCTTCAGACTACAGCTTTTAAGGACACAACCCCCCTGCAGCAGCCAGGACCTGGTTGCTTTTTCCCCCTCAGATGTACAAACCACAGATTTGGTCACCTCGAAGGCACGTTTGTGTGCGCCTGTTGAACAAGCCATCGCGATTCCTCTGCATAAACAAGGAACCTTCTGTCTCCAGCAAACTTCATGGATAATTCATCAAAGAAACTTTAAAGTTGGTGCTAATAAATACTGTAATAGGAAGATTATGGAATAATATTGATCTATTACATTCCTGTTCCATAGCTCTCCAAAAGAGAATGAGATCATAGAGTCATAATAATTGTTTAGGTGGGAAGGGACCTTAAAGCCCATCCAGTTCCAACCCCCTGCCACGGGCAGGGACACCTTCCACTAGAGCAGGTTGCTCCAAGCCCCTATGTCCAATCCAGACACCTATTTCCATACAACTAGAAGGGCTGATGTCAGCTGTATTTTAAGTATCTTTCTTACAACTAACTCTGCAGCCAAAAACAAACAAAAAAGAACTATTCTGCTGGAAACCAAATGCAGCCACCTGGTTCACAAGGTTCTTTTCAAGCTGGAACCTTTGCTTTCCAAAGCAGATCTCATCAGTCACCTCTGCTTCCCTTTCAGTTTACCCTCCCACACTGCTGCCTTGCTTCGAGCCATCACTTTCAAAATCAAAGTATTTCAGAAGGGGTTTTGTATCTCTTTGCATCTCTCGTGCTCAGACTCACTCCATATCCTGTCTAGACAGTTTGTCCTGTGATGGTTCATCAGGGTTCTGACTTGACTTACAAAGCTGTGCATTAAGTGTTGCTGCCTCTGTATTAGAGCACCCAGCAAACATTCAGCTAGTTGAGATTACAGCCCTGAGCATCATCTCTGGGGCTGATTCCACATACCTTAAAATAAACTTAGTTAAACCTGTGCAAACCCTTTCACTGATTTACATTCTGACCTTACCAGGAATACATCCAGCTTCACTTGAAGCCCTTAATAAATTAAGTTGAATCAACGTAAAAGTAAAATGAAATCAAATGAGTAGTTTCCACTTGGGGGTCAATACTAGTTTTCTACATGCAATTTAGAACTCGCGTGTGTAGCGTCAAGGCTTAAAGGGTTCTTAGATTGCAGTTCATGCTGAAATAGCTCCAGTAAATTTCAAGGAGAGAAGAAAGGAGTGGAGGAGGAAAAGCATTTGCAAGGCTGGAATTTACTTCTCCCTCCTGGAATAAATTTAATTTGCATTTTTGAAGCCTTCACTTCCAAGTGTTTCTTTATTTACCTCGGAGTCTGCCGTAGGTGGATGTTTAACTGCTGTTGTGCCGAAATCTAAACCAAATACATCCGAGAGTTTTTGAAACCACATTCTTCTGAGGGCAAGGAGGGAGCTCCTTCAAGGCCAGATACTCTCTCAGCCACATCTGGATAGGACACCTGGTTACAAGATCTACAAACAATAGTGTGTAGAAGTATAGATGGGAAGTGTGAGAGACTGGGCACGGAGCACATCCCGCTGGGGCTGAAGCTCCAGGACACGTGGGATCAGTCCAGAGGAAGCACCATGGGCTTGGCGGGAGCCTACCACTGTGATTGAGCAGTTCAACACATCAGTTGTGTAGTTTTCTTATGCTTTTTGCAATGCCAGAGGTATAAAGCAATTAAAATCTTGTGCACTAATTGCTTCTTTTCTGCCCTCTTCTGCCCTTAGTTCTTCATGAGAAGCTGAGGGGGTTGTTTAGGGCAAGTGGGAAGAATTCAGATGCTGAACAGAGGTGGCAGGAGGGTCAGCTATTCCCACAGCCTGGACCAGCTTCCCACCTCGTGGCTTGATGGGAAAGCAGGGCAGATTGATGGTCACAAGGCTGTCAGTGTCAAGGCTGACAATGCATTAGGAAGGTGATGCAGTAAAACCTTTTCTACAGCTGACAGGTTACACCCGGCGCGAGGGTGGGCAACGTGCACACACACTGTATGTTGTTCTCACCTCGGGCTGTTTCAGTGTGTATCTTCCATCTCCTACTCAGTTCTCAAAGCATTTCCAGCATGTTTTCAGTGTTTCTTCAGACTGAAATGTCAGCACTATGTGCAATACTAGGAAATGGGTAAAATCAAATCCATGGCAGTTGTTCCAAGGCTTTTCTTTCTCATTCTCTCAGCTTCTCACAACCCTTCTTATATTTACAGAATAAATTTATAATCGTGTAAATTTTAACTCTCCTCACACTCAGATATGAACGAGCAGGTATTAAGGAAGCTGACTGTTGTGCTTCAAAGGCAGTAAAGATGTGCTCAGATCTCCTTCACAATCTAGGAACATTGAGGAGCCTCTCTAGCTTCCAGTAGGACTAAAAACTCTAAGCCAAAATGAAAGAAAAATACCTAAAACCATCAACAAACCAACGTGGTGAACCAACATAAACCAAAAGGTAAAAACACTGGCACAGGGTGCCCAGAGAAGCTGTGGCTGCCCCATCCCTGGCAGTGTTCAAGGCCAGGTTGGACACAGGGGCTTGGAGCAACCTGCTCTAGTGGAAGGTGTCCCTGCCCGGGGCAGGGGTTGGGACTGGATGAGTTTTAAGGTCCCTTCCAACACAAACCAGGCTGGGATTCTATGAAAAAAAACCACATCTTCTTCCTCTGGAACTGGAAGAAAACCATAAGCTACAACAGGTTCAAATGATTTGTCACTTGTGGTAGCTGTTTATACTCAAGAGATGCTGCTATACTATCAAACCAGGCAACAGCACGAAACTCTCTGAACAGATGGGCAGACAGAGCTTTGGATAGTCTTTAAGTTCAAGGAGGTTTAAGGATTTAAAATGTTTTCACACACTGGGTGCAGAAAATCTATCTGCTTTTCAGACAAGCAGAACTGTCTGGAGCAGCTCACATGCTGGAGGCTGCAATTCAGAAGGGCTTAGCTAGGCTGGAAAAATGGGCTGAAGGGCACCTCATGACATTCTGCCAAGTCCTGCCCCTGCTCTGAGCACGAGGTTAGACTCAAAACCTCTGGAAGTCCCTTCCAACCTACTGCTTTTGTGATCCTAAGACTTCCTCCTGTTTGTTAACACGCTCCAGGTGTGGAAGCCCAGCTCAGCTCTTGTTACGGTGGAAATTTATGTCTAACATGGAAATTCAGCCTTTCCTTTTCCCCTCTTATTTTCCACACAAGAAAAAAGGGAATTAAAAATCTATCACAGATACCTGGAAAGGACCTGGCCAAAGGCTATTTCCATTCCTCTGCCCCAACATGTGAAGCAGTTAATACAGAACAGGGATTGCCACGGATTATGGCAGAGGACAGAAAGTTGAAGGCCATGATGAAGAAACCTACAAACCAGAATAAATCACTAGATACAAAACCAAAGTCACAATAACAAAAGCTTGTTGCAATATCAGCTCTTCTGGAGATTTTGAAGTTCTGGTTATGGTAAGTACGAAGGGATGGGGCAGTGGACATCACTTGATTTCTGCTCTACACTGAGGATGAGATTTTTCCATTCATTGGAGAACACAGCATGGGAACAGGGAAGTTGATCCTTTAACAGTGACATTCAAACATGTGCTGTTACAACTGCAAAAGTCAGAATACGAGCCAACCTGTAACTTATTTACAGCTATAATATTTCCTTTAAAATAATCTTAATATATCAGTTGGAGATTGAAATAATAGTGTCATATCCCCCCGTTCCTCACAATCTGTGAACTTTCATTTCCTTTTCTTTTTTAGCCTATTTCTACTTTCAACTTGAAGCCGTTGGATCTTGCCTTATCTTTTCCCAATAGATGAAACAGCCTCTGTTCCCCAGAGACTCCATCTCACTGCTGGCCACTGTGTTTCCCAACCTTCAATCATTCGCAGGTTTCTTCTCTGAATAACCTTGATGTGTGAACACAACATGGTGAGTTCAGGAAGATCTACCTAATAAACATGGGGGTAACAGTTATGTTACTAAACGATAGTACACTCTGTTGGCTTCTGGAGCCAAGAATATCAGCAGCACTTCCAGCCATTTTACATTACAGGGAGCTTGTCTCAGCTACCCACAATGACTAAAGTTTTTAAGTCATTGTTTCCAGGGGTACTGTAAAGGGAAACTATTAAGCACAGACCACACACCCTGTTCTCAGATATTCTGCTTTACATACATACTGAAACACGTAACATTTCTGTCCAACTTAAGAACCACCACTCTGAGTGGAGTGTTATTTTCATCACTAATTGGCAAAACTCTGGACAATGAGTAGGGATCAGGGGAAAGCTGTGACTTGCTCTTTTCTTTCAAAGTCATTGGCAAAAGTTTATAGTGGTGCAATGACAAGAACCAGCCCCTAAACGACTTCAGCAGAGTAACTACTCCTCGTTCAAACCCTTATTTCCTATCTTCCAGTTATCCAACTTTATACCCATTTAACATGAGTCATACTAATGCTGTTTTGTTCTGATTTCTTACTGGTGAGCAAGCTACATAAACATATTCCTTCTGCTATCACCCACATAAGCCCACATTCTGCTCTCTCTGGGGAAGAACTCTGTAAAGGCACGTAACGAACATCCCTCACGAAGGAGATGAACAGAGAGTTGACAAACAGAAATCACATTGTGCAACAGCCTTGACTAGTGACTCTGACAGCCAGGTTTGTACAAACTCCACCACTTCCAAGCTGTGTCTCTCAGCACAACCTGAACAGATCACTGGTATGGAGACCCTGAAAGCTGTACAAAAGATCTTCTGAGAAGGATGCAAGTCTGAGCACTACCTATTGCTTAGGAACATCAGTCTTCTCTTTGGACTGTGAAATGCTAAATTCTATCTCTCCTCACAGAACATGAGACCCTGACAGCTACACTCGCCACATCTGACAGCAGATCTTGTTAGGGGCCTCACTGCAGGAATTCAGGGTTTTGTTCACATAATAACATGCTTCTTTTGCCTGAGGATACCTCAGTGGGTGTAACTGATCTCTGCACAGGGAGACTGTGGCAGACTCATCCACAGTGGGATGAGTAAGTCCTTTTAATCTTTCTTAGCTGCCCACAAACCACGTCAGTGTAATCCCTGTGAAAAACTCCAGAACTGTACCTCACAGTAAAGCCAGAAAGGTTACCAATACATTCATCTCCCTTTTTGCTTATTAAAAGAAAACTAAAGAGCTCTGAAAGTCAGAAATTCATATTTCTCTTGGCTTTGAAAGGTTGCTCACTAGTACCTGCACCCACTGGGAGACGGTGGGAATCCGCCTGGATTCACAGTGTAACTGTCCCAGACAGTGGCCTTCTTAAAGCACTGCAAGGAACAAGAATTCTCCTCCTCCTCCTGTGGCACTTTGTCCTCTATAAGGTAGTGGCTGTTTCTAAACATCTCTTCTGATTCTGTGGGGCTGTGCCCACAAATGGATGTGCAATCCCCTCCGAGACCTCCAGTTCCTCTGCTGTAGAGCAAACCATGAGTGCTGTTTGCATGCTTCTGTCTGTCTGCTGGGGTGCAACTGGGCAAGATGGGGCATTTTCCCTCTTACTGCCTCCTGGTATTTTATGCTGTTCCAGCCTTCTTCAGAAAGCCAAGGAAAACTCAAGGGCAATAAAACAAATATATTAAAATTCTTTTTAAATCCTCTGCTAGCCCTATATAAAGGAAATCCAGCAGCTCAGGAAGCTTTGGCATTGTTGTACAGGAGCCATCAGTTCAGTTGGACTCAGATGTGATACTCCTCTGCCTGCCTTAGAAAAGCAGAACCCCCAGTTGTGAAGGTCATCTAACAGTAAAGACAGAGAACAGCTCTCTAAAATACATATGTACATATATTATAGTGTCAAGGTGAAGGTATAAGGAGCTATGACTGCAACTGTGCAGATCAGAAAGCATGTTTGATATTCATTTTGGAGACATCCTAAAAGCACAAAATAGAAGTTCCTTGTTTATTTTTGGAGCACTGACCTGTTTCATTTTAGTTCCCCCTTTTCTACTTATTAAGCCATTTTCCCATCCTCCATGTGAGGCACCATCAACAATTCTGAGAGACCTGGCAGAGAAGTAGAAGAGGACCTAGCACAGGCCCATTGCCAGACTTGTTTCCAGGTTTTGTTCTACCTGTTCACCCAAAATGCAGCCAATGCTGGACTGTCTCAGTGCCTGAGACTTGGTTGCTGCCTAGTTCATGCAATACTCATCTCTCTCAGGCGCAACCTTCATCTCTGCAGTCCTCCACAGAACACACAGACATCTACTATTTCTTCCCACAGATCAGCTAAACACTAAACCCACTGTTAAATCAGCTGAAGTATTTCAACATGGCTTAAGGTTAAAACCTATTAAAGTTAACAAATGCAGCCAATATAGCCATTCTAAATCCAGGATACAGATGTTAGTACAGGCTTCTTCTCATCTGGGGTGTTCACTTGGCCCTTGGTGGTTACTGCCTCTTTATGCTCATGTAAAGAACCCAGGTTTTTTAATTTAGATATCTTATTAATGCAAATATGGTCAAAAAAGCCATGTCTGAGCCTCCCTGTGATCTCTACCATTATTTTACAGTCATACCTTCATAAGCAAACACTTCACACTTGCCCTAAAAGGGAAATGCTATTCTGTGTAATTACAGAATTTCTAAGATGTTACACACAGAGGCATTATTACAGTGGAACAATCAAAACCTCATCTAGTTTGGAATTCTGCTTCAACAGCATCACGCAGCCGACCACAGAACCACTGGTCCACACAGTGAATTCATCACTAAGCTTTGTTAAAGAGTGATTGACTCAACAATTACAAGTGTTTGATGGTATTTCTTTAAACAGTACAAAGCAAAGTTTTAAATGTGTCAACACTGACTCATTTTTAAAGACTGTTGCCCACAATATTTCAGCTGCTCAGCTCCTGGTGGGAAGGAGCTAAAAGTCAATGTCCTTGTCAAAAACACATCCTTGGCCTCACAGCATAAAATGGGCAAAGCATAAAAGGAAACACCAAGAGCTGAAGGTTTTACCTCACTGTCTGGGCTGGGCTGGATAACTTCCCAGGTCTGCGAGTCCACGTCGTAGCAGTGAAGCTCGTTGGGCAGCGTGTTATCTGCAGCACCACCAAACACATAGAGATGCCGGTCGAACGCAACCATCGTGTGGCCGTAGCGTCGTTGTGGAGGAGGGGGGGAGCCTCGAAGCAAGTGCTCGGTGGGAATCCGGGTCCAACTGAGGCATTGAACATGAAACAGCATATAGAAAACAATAAGTTTTCTAACTCTCAGGTTGTAAGAATAAAGGAGCTCCTTTACGGTACCTTCCAGAACCTGCATGAGAACAGGCAACGACTCATCCTGATCTCTGTCAGCTCCGTGTTGCTAAACTTCCAACTGAAGATGTGATAAAGCCAACGTGGTTCCCTCACCCAGATGCAGACCCAGATGTAAACCCCAGCAAAAAGACCACAACTTGGCAAGGAATCTGTGATCTACTACCCACTTTAACAGCTAATCCTCCTAAGTAAAGAGCACCATTGATACCATACCCCATTTTGACAGGGCACTACTTATTACAGCAGCATGATTTCAGCCAAGGTCTGGAGGCCATCAGCTATTGTTTCACTTGTGGTTCCACTTCAGCCAGTAACCAGGCAGACCAGGCTGTCAGAACAGACCACAGAACAACTTTCAGAGAGCTACTATTTGGCATCCCATTCTGAATACACCAAGACTCACACTTACTGTTTAAAGTGTGAGTATTCCTTTTGTCCTTTTGATTTCTGTTCATCAGCTGAACAAGACCAATCTGATGCACTAACAGATGGTCCACACCTCACCTCCACTTCCTCACCATGAGATGCAGTATTCTTTCTCAACACCCTTAAGTATGTGCATTTCTCAACTCAAGTAGTAAAGGATCAGGTGGATTTTGTGTGATTTATCTGTCTACACTTACATCTTTTCCTTGAACTCAAACTGGAAGAGATTATTGGTAATCTTTGCTCCACTCTGGCCTGAGAAAACAAACATCTTGTCTTTGCAAACAGCCACAGGGAAATTACAGCACGAAGGAGGAATTTCACCACTTTGTTCAATCTGAAAGAGAATGAAGTTCAAAATGAAGAAGGTATTATTGCAGTGCACCACTGCACGTGCTGAGGATGCTGCAGCACCATGCAGCTCACCAGCAGATGATTTTTACTACGGAGAAAAAGCATGGGAGGCCACACTTCTAGAGCCCCAGTGCTGTCAGGATCAGACATCTGGACAGCCAGCCAGCAAAGCTCCCAGTGGATACAGTGGGAAATGCAGTCCCTTTCCACAGGGAGCATGGCCAGTTCATGTTCACGTTCACGTTCACAGGCAAAAAGCAAAGTTCATGTACGCTTGGTTTTCCAAATGCACCAACAAAATCATGTTGAAGGGTTTCTGCTCACCTGTGTGACAAATACATTCTGCAGAGAGCAGTGCTGCCCAGCACAGGCCATCTTAAATAACTCCATATGAAAACCAAGAAAGAAATTCTACGTGTTAACTGAAAGTAGAGCTTCTTACCTCTTCCCAGCACGTTAGCTCTCTATCCTGGAGGCCAATTGTCCACATATCATTTAACCTATGTCATAATACAAAAATGCTTGATTTAGAAATAGGTTTGGGGTTTTTTTTCCAGTAGTTTTTAGCTCCTACTTCCACTGGCAGAAAAAAACCCAATCCTATTAAAGTCTTTTTGTCCTATACCTACATTTAATACCATCACCTCAAGCCTGCTTTAGCATCTTTCTGGTTACAAGTATTCTACAGTTACACGCAGCAATTTTGCCTGGAGCTTAAGGATTTGAGCTATTCACTCTTCAGGATTCAGGAGTATTAACAGAAATACCCCTTACTACCCTGCTACCTTCTGCCCATCCCTACTAGCTCCTAGGATGGAACACAGTAGAGATTTGTGTGGCTGAATCCCACCTTCACTGCTGAGAGAACGGAGCAGGCAACCTGACACATCACTGACTGCTTCCTATCTGACTAGGCTTTTCCCAGGACAAGTTACTCACAGTATAACTACAGATGATTCCTTTTGTCCTAATCTGCCCGAGGCTCCTGGTCCACAAAAAGCCATTTTTTAACGTGATTAGATGTATTTAACATAAATTAGACAGCTCCTCTCACCAAATCCCTCCTTCCAGCTACTCGAGGTCCTGGGGGAACTCCCTAAGCTGGGACTGAGCAACTCCACACAGTCATGCCTCTCCCTCCAATTCCTCCTCCAGAAATAAAGCAAAATGCTCGTTTGCCAAATTTCAAAGATCTTTCAGCATCTTTACAACCAAGGCACGGATGTCACATCACACATCCACAGCCCGTCTGACTCACCAGGTTTTTAGGTTTTAAACACACACTGACTCGAACTGGGTGAACTGCAGAAATGTGACACTCAACAACAGGCTTTTTGCAAAGCTCCAGTTATGGGCTTAAATCACTCGGGGTATGAAAACATCTCTACAGAGGTGAAAAGCGAGGCACCAGGATTTTACAACAGCAGCCGGGAGCGATCCCAGCACGTACCGTGCGTTGCCGTCGTATCCTGCAAAGATCCACAGCTTGTCACTATACACTGTTGCACCGTGAGCTGACCTGGCAACTGGCAACCTGCAGTTGAGAAAAGCAATTAAAACATTCTCAGATCACCTGCAGAGGTGCTGTAAGTAAGACCTAGGTGAGGGCTAAAAGGCACATGTATGAAGCATAAAGTACCCGACACTAAGTGGCTTCAAGGGGTGAGATCGAGAGGGCTCCTGAGAAGCAAAACCCTCAAGAAAAGAGCAAACCCAGATTTTTATCTTCTCCAATCTTCGTGGGTTTTTACTAAATCAGCCAAGAAGCATTGAACAAAACTGCAACACCACAAGGCCATCAGCTTGTCTGAGGTCATTTGTGCAGTACCCACACTCGTAACCATAGGGAAAGGACATATGAGTTTGGAATACAGGAGTAAGACTCACTCTCCAGAACATCAGAAGTTGCTAGAACAACCAGAAAGAGAATTTACTGACGTGGTCTAAATGTGCACAAACTCAGCTCTGAGAAGTAACACGCTACTAGGTCTGATTTTGCCTTAGAAGGCTGAATCTCAGGAACCTGTGTTCAACAGAGCCAATGTACATCATCGGCTCATCCATCTGGTTCTGAATGCACTAGTGTGCACACACGTCACGAGTGTGAGCATCTCAGAGCACCCAGAAAGCCCAACTTTAGTCTGAAAACAACGTGCAGATTTAACTACAAATGAGCTTCCAAGTGGTTTCTGATACAACTAAATTGAAACTATGAGGGAAGAGCCAATGTCATGTTAACCTTGGAAAAGAAACAATTCAAAAGAAAACGCTTCCTTTGCTCTCATCCCTTTTGTCACAGAAATGAAACACGAGGAATGTGGTTTGGTCACATTTCTAGCAGAGCCCACACAAAAACCCCTCCTTTTCAGAACACTTGAATCAAGAAAGCAGAGCAGAAATCATCCCTCAGCCTTAACACCAGCACTGGCACCAATTCCAGCTGTGCCACCGTCAGTGTCTGCTGTGTTAAGCGCAAGGCGCCGTGAAGAGGGGGGCAGTGATGCCAGCTCCTTACCTCCCTTCAGTCTTCCACTCAGTCCACTGTCCAGTTGCAAACTTGTATTCAAAGAGATCGTTCTTATTCTTCAGGTTGGAATTGGAATAAATGTCTCCAGTGTAGCCACCTGGGCAACAGGAATTCCATTGGACTCAGATGCAATCGAGCACTCACACTTCTAGTTGTTATGTTAGAAGAAAACTTAAGTTTAGTTCACACAAAGAGAGGTATTTGGCTAATGGACTCCTACAGGTGGGAGACTCCTCCACTCCTACCCCTAAAGAAACGCTGTGGGAATGAGTTTCGAGTTGTCTTTACTTTAGACAAAAGTGTTTCCAGGCTGAGGTTGGAATCAGTGTTAAGACATGGAAAATACTGGATTTGCTACAGAGATCTCACGATACTTCCTAAAAATCTCTCATTCTTCCTTCTAAACAACCCTACCAGTGCATTTACCATCCCAAGCAGACACCACTGCAACCTGCCTTACCGAACACGAACATGCTGCTCCCATAGACCACAGCCGAGTGGTGATAGCGCGGTGCTGGCGGGGTCCCCGTGGTGAAAGCCCTGCACGACACGAGAACAGCAGCGCTCAAACACCCTCTTTGTGCTGCGGGGACTCGCAGCTATTGCGCAGAGCCAAAAAAGAAACAATTGCTACAAGTTTTTCTGCTGTTCCCGAGGGTTTTCTCTGGTTTTGGTTTCTTCATTAAAGCGTCGCAGATTTTATGACACACTGAGCACTACGAGCATGTTACATCCCGACGCGGCTGAAACGTGTTCGGCAGAGACAGCAAGCGAGGCACAAGGGAGGCGCAGGTGAGATGGCAGAGCCTGCGCAGGCCAGAGCAAAGACACGGCCCCACTGAGCCCCACTGGCACATTTCCTGCCCCAAGGGGGGCAGCAGCGCAGCCCCTTTGCCCCTGCGCCCTCCCAGCACCCCGCAGGGTGCGCGGGCAG